ATATCCACTTTTATTGCACAATCTACCATTTTCAATTAAATTCGGGATATATTTAAACGCGTTTTTGTTCTGTATCTAAGATGATATTGCAAGAGCATTGAAAAATTGCAACCTGGCAAAAAGAAACCTGTTTTTTAAATAAGTATACAATAATTGAAACCAAAAGTTAAAAAGCTTAAATTGTTTGTATGACTCAAATAAGACTATTGCCCTTCCAAATATTTTTTATTCAGTGTTCTACCTCATTTAGCCTTTTTAATGTTTTGTTCCCATAACGGAGACTTTTTTGACATTTTTCTCGAAACCCCAAGGGTGAATAGAAAGCTGAAAAGGGTATAACCCCTGAATAAAAATGCTTGCGAGGTCAATATTCTTATTTAAGAGTCATAAAAACATTTTGAGAGTAATTAAACCAATTTTTGATTTTTGGTTATGATTTTACATCTATTTTAAAAAACAGGTTACTTTTGCAGATCAACCCGACACAAAAAATGATTGCAATATTATCTTAGGCTCTGAAAAAAATACGTTTAAGCTATATCTCGAATATTGTTAAAAAAAAGAAAATATCCGCTCACCTGGCCGAAATCCCTACACTGGAAGTAGCAAAACCGGACGATAGAAAATGATTTTTTTTTGTATTGACCTCAAAAAACATATTATTATATTTCATTGTTAGCAAAAAATGAAAAATCCATAAGCAACTTTTCTTTATATTTGACAGGTCACACGACATTTTCCACCACCAGAACGTAGTAGTACATGTATTTTATTGTGGCGTTTGTTTATTTTAAACAACAGTTTATGTGTTAATAATTTATTTAAACACCTATTTATTTTAAATCAATACTATTCTAATTTATATATTTTGAAAATCTTTGAACTGTTCACTATTTTATCTTCACAACTGTTTTTATACGACTGACTTCTCCGTTGTTCCTCCACCAATATTTATATACACTTCTGGTGGATTCCAGAATGCTCGCCGCCAAAACTAGAAACAGTATCACGTTTTACCTGAAATGTACTCAAAAGCGCCTTCGCCATAGTAGTCGCATATATTTGGTCTTAAGGGGTTTAATTATGTATGATAATCGGACAAGTTGAGCCTCAAATGCCAAATAAGACAGAGAGGGACTTTGAGGATTAGGGCATGACAGAATAATGAAATGGCTCGCATTACATTATGTACATATTACATAGGGAATTATAAGCTTTGGGCCTCTAACCTCCTAGAGTGTAGAATGGATAAAGATTTTGTGTACCATTTTCATATTATTTTCCTTAAAGATTAGATCAAAGTAACACGTAATCATTATATAAAAATGGATTTAGAAGAAACAAGCAAATATAACTAAAGGATATATAACAAATGTGCATTTACTAAACTTGTCTTCAAAATAACTTTAGATAAAAGTTTACGGTACCATTTTGTACAACGCCGCAAAGCTGATCCATTTGTTGCCAACTGATCGCTTAACTCAATTGATGATTTGCCATGGTTGTACTCAGAAATGCATTCCGGTTTTACTATGGGTACATTATTCCTTCTGCTATTGCAGGGGGTCGTTTTTAGTCCTAGACATTTTAGTAGAAATCATTCTGGCATCTCGTTTATCACGCCATTTGGTGACAATAATTTCATCGTTTGTTCGCATAACAGACATTTCACCTTTCTTTAATTTGACATTAATGACATTCTTCAGTAGATATTGTCAATTTGCTGCAAGGGTACCCATTAAATGGGTATTTCTACACTTTAAACGATAGGCGAGTGGTACACTAGTATAATAATAATCTGTGTATATAATTCTTCGTTCGTCTAATAGATCCTTGCCAATGACATGCCAGTTTTTCAGGAACCTGAGTTGCAAGATCTCTGATTTACCGAAATATGTCATAATATTCCAATTATACGCTTTATTAGTACAGAGTGTGGACCTTGTGGCCATATTTGGCTGCCAGAATATCAATCTGTCGCGCCAAGATAACGAAGACTCATCCACGAAGACCTTTTCGCCGGGATGTAAGTCTTCTGATACTTCTGAATAAATGTATCCATCAATACCATTACTTTATAAAGTCTGTCACTAGGATTAGAAGTAGAAGTTCGGAAAAGTGTATATAGTTCGATATAAGCGTGCATCATTTTCTGAAAATTACGGTTCGAGCAAAGTCAACGATATAAAGTTTATGCGTCCGCCAATAATCTTTTGTCGCCAGTAACTTTACTAGGCACATCCAACCAATAAGAGGAAGAAACCTAGTAAAGTGAAAACGCTTGTTAAGTAGACTTTTGCGCCATTATTTGAAAAGTTAAATACTTTCGGGTCCGCAGAGCTGGATCCAATTCTCGGCCAAAAAATGTGCTGGATCCAGCTGGATTGCTGGATAAGAGATTTAGTAATTCTAAATCTAGCAGTTTTAATGTATATTTATGTGGGAACTAAAAAATATATTTTCTAGTATTCATGTATCATAAACCTTGCCAAACAAACCCAAAAGCGTGCATAATCGGTTCTTTATCGAACGCCGTGCATATAAAGGTTGCTAGGTAACCACTTTAATAAATATTATAAGATTATGTCAGATTGTATTTTGAATTGTCAAATTAATCAAATTGTTTACAACTTTACATAAAAACAAGTAACATGAATAGAAAAATTATTTTAATAATTAAATTAATTGTCAAATGACATTTACCTACCCACTCGATAAAACGCATGGAAATTAATAATTTGCATTTTTCAATTAAAATAATTTATTACTACTATTACTATTGTAATTACGCATTCATACTAAAAAATATTGTATGACACAATGAATAATCGCCTTTAAAGCATTCGCAACGTTAAGGCCATTCCGCTGCGCCTCGTGGCCTTAAACCGTTGCTTATGCTTTAAAGGCTCGATTATGCATTAGTGTCCTGATATACTATTGTCGGTTTCTAGTTATTTGATGTATGAAAAATATATTGTACTTAAAAAAAACAGAATAAAACAACCCAATTTTATTAAATAATGATTTATAAATAGGTACCCAATCACAGAAAAATATTGTTTTATTATCTGTTGATTTTATATAAATTAAAAAGAATACATAACTAAATAAAATAGTGGCTAAAATATATTTATGCTAATTTACAAGCAAGAGATGAAATTTCAGTTAGTATGTACCTACATTTGAACAAGAAGTTCCTAAAACATTTTAAAATGTATGAAAAAGTAACGCAGTTGATAATCAGTAATCACTATTATTAAAAATACCGTTAAAATAAGTACACATACAATACACAATATACTTAAATAATTTAAATAAAATGTAGTTATGGAACCCAACCATTTCATATATTTTCTGGTAACATTCGAACATTCTGTATCTGTAAAGTGGGGAAGGTGGGTCCTCCCTACGGCACTTAGACCTCACTAGGCTCATTGTGCATGCTCCTAAGATGATAGGCACCTCCTAGCTCGTGAGCCAACCTACAGATTTAATGTAGTTGAACACGTCACCAAGAGGTGCTTCTCATATATCAGCCGGTGTTAGCCGAACTTGCCGAACTTAAATCTTCTAATAAATTAGAGCATCCAACAATCGTAGTGGATATGCTCGATGGTCTTATTTTCTTGTTCGTACCCCCTGCAGAGTGCGGATTCTGATAGCCCCATGATATGGAGATGCTTCCGTACTTGTCAATGACCAGTGAGAATGCCTGTGACTAGTACCAGATTCTGTCTAGTCATAGTGAAGTATTTGTTTGCTGTAATGATGTCAGGATAACTTAAAAGCTCCCTGACAACTCTGCAGTTTCATGTTTCATCCCAACATTCGGACATTGAACAAACTGTTATTATCTGCAATTCAGTCTTCAACATTCCAGAAATGTCCATCACTCGCACAACATTATTCAAAAGACCTCTTCTTAGATTTATTTTAGTAGGTAGTGCACTTTTGTACAGTTGAAATCCCCAGCAAGGGAAACTTAAGAGTTTTTCTGCTCAAATATTTTGTCGTTTAATAATTAGAGAGTTATTGCAAGTTCACTTAAGGTCAGTCACTATTAGTGCCGCTCTTATTTTGACATCTGAGCATGCGCAGATCACTAACTTTAATAAAGATTGTGCCTATCCTTAATAGAGAGATATTGCAAATTTCTATAAAGCCAGCCACTAATAGTGACATCGTAATTAGAGTAAAATAAATTCTCTAATAGTACCTAATATTAAAGAGGCATTATAAATTAAAATTTTAGAAGGTTTAAATGACGAGCGCATCCGAAAGCTATAAAGTCGCCACTACCTGCTGCCCTTAAACATCCACAATTAAGGACAGGCACAATCCTTAATGAAGTCAGTTTTAGAACATAAACATTTGCGCATGCTTAGATGTCAAAATAAGAGCGGCACTAATAGTGACTGACCTTAAGTGAACTTGCAATAACTCTCTTTTAAGGACAGGCACAATCTTTGTTAAAGTTAGTGATCTACGCATGCTCAGATGTCAAAATAAGAGCGGCACTAATAGTGACTGACCTTAAGTGAACTTGCAATAACTCTCTATTAATTCATATTTTTTCTTTAAATTTAAACCAACTTTCAATTAGATTCAGGACGTGTTTTCCTTCTTTTTTATTTTGTCTTTTAACTGTAAATACAATTCAATTTGGACAAAGATTGGAACATATCCCCTTATCTCTACACAAGCACATGCTTCTTGAGGTTCTATTTGAACAATTAAAGGTTTATGTCTTTCCAAAATTAGATTTCTCCGGAATTTTGTACTTTTTTAACTTTGTTAACTGTAAAAAATCTTTTTTTAAATTAATTTTGTGACTCAAATTTCTTGTTTATATTTACATATTATAAATATCATATGTTCACGCCCACAATTATTGTAGATAAGCACTGAAGATGGCGTTATGCCGAGAGCGCTTTGTAATTTAAATAAACAATTTTGCATGAAACACAAATCTTTTTTGCTAAAATATTTAATTATCTTACCTTATCTAATTCCACATCATCAGAATCTTCAGATTCTTCTTCTTCTTCCTCCTCTGAAGAAGAATAACTCTCGCTTTTACTATTTGATTTTTTTGGAGGACTCTTCAAAACTCTCTCCGACGCTTTTTGCAAAGTAGGAAGATTCTTGAGCTTATAATCCTTCTTAGGAGGTGATTTTTCCCTTTGTGGAACTGGCTTAAGAGCTGGCTTTTGGAAAAAACTCTCTTTAGCTCCATTTTCTTGAGGCTCTTTCGGCTCTGCCTTTTTGATTTTTCTTAATTGCACACCGCCTATGAGTTTACAAAAAACTTTGGTTACTAGAATTTAGGTAAGGTCATTAGGTACTAGGTAACAAACATTTTATCTTATAAGCCAACTTTCGTGCACTGTAGGTATAGAAATTATAATGCAGAGGCGAATTTTGGCTCATTTCTGACAATATTCAGGATGAAATTTGTTTCTGGACATAGACCACCCCCGCTGCCTATGCCTTCACATCGTCAATTAAATGTACACAGACAGTTATACAATGTTGTAATGTTACTAGGTATAGTCTTCAACAGTACCCCGTATCCCACGTGACCAAATTGATGTCATCACTAAAGGAATATTAATAACTTCTGTAGTAACCCTAAAATAATATTACTGGCTTATTTGACAGAACTAATTCTTAAGAAGTCATATAAAAGTTATTAAGTTAGGCTATTCTTAATGAATTTCTTGATCTACCAGATCACATGGGCTACGTGTATTGTAGGCTTAAGTTCCAGCATTGGTACATAAATACCTATTTCTGTTGACCCCTCTCCTAAATAGATCTGAAAAGTAAGTTTTTCATATTTTCAGTAGTGAACTGAAAATATGTAATCAATATGTTAGTCAAGTTTGTTTAGTGTACAAAAAGCATGGTGAGTGAAATATGCAAAAATGTTGTGAGAAACACAATTTTTTTAATTATTCAAAATAATACGTATCACATTCACGTTTTACTAGTGACCACATAAACTTAGAAATACCCTCAACTTTAGGTCCAAAACTATAAATTAAAAAAATTGTGTTTTAAACGTGACTGTATGTATATTATATATATTTTTTTAATATCAAATTTTAATAAAAATAATGATAAAACAACAACGTTTCCCTTATAGAATTATATTGATAAAAATAATGATAAAACTACAGCGTTTTCCTTATAGTTAAATACAAATTATCTGTTCATAATTCTGTTGATTATTCTATTATAAAGCAGGCACTATTTGGTTATTATATGAAAACCGTATGAAAACAGGGTTTTTGGTGATTTATATTTCATTCTCAATTTTGCCCGATTCCCTGAATTCAGTTTTCAAAATCTTCATTGTTATATGAATTATCTAACAGAACAATTTTTTGATAAATGAAAACATAAAAAATCGCAAGGCATTACATATTTATATACTAAGCTTCGTGGATGAAGAAATAATTCAAACATTACCAACCAACTCTAACTATTCTGGCCCATTGTTTTAAATTTTTATTTTCTTTTCCAGTTATTTACTCACAATTCCTGTAGATATTTTAGTGAGCTTTTTGCCACCTCTCTCTTAGTCTTTCTTTGAGCCTTCGCCTCTTTAAATTCTGTTCTATTACTGTCTATGCTTGCAGCTCCTTGTTAATTCATTCGATATAGTCTCTCCTACTAGGCGCAGAAGGGAGAAATAAGAGGACAAAAAAGGCGCAGAAAAAAACGAAGTGAAAGACAAGAAAAGAAGAAAGAATGGTACAGAGAGGACGAGGAAAGAGAGAAGGAGGAGGAGAAATTATGAGTGGTTTGCTAAAAACCCAAAAACCTTTAAGCAAGAGGTTGGTCAGCTTAACATTCGATTAGATCTTTTAGCGCAACAACAAGAGATTTTAAAAATTGGAGTAGAGTTGGAATGGCAAATTAGACTCGACATGCATGCCACAGAGTCATATTTTAAGGGAGCCTCAAGCGCCGAAATGGTCTTTTTTAGAAACTGCAAAGGAACTGGGAAGGACCCTATACCGTCCTCAAGAAAATCAACAACTTGATCTACCACATTCAGTTGATAGCGGGAAATAAACCTCAGATACTTTACACTGAAAAGTTAGCGCCATACCATGGTCCAGATCGTCCCTGTCCGCTCCAACCAGGTCCCAGTAATCAAGTTATTCAGGATAAATAATTAGAGAATAGGGAGCAATGTCACCTATTACCCTACATTGCGCTGCGGTTATCATGAATAAAAGTACGAATAAGAAGAAGAAGAAGAAGAAGAAGAAGAAGAAGAAAAAGAAGAAGAAGAACAGCCTAGAAATGTATTTGTGTCAAACAACATCTGGAAGTTTAGAGAAAATCAAGGGAGCTATATAAGGCGATGATCTTGACGTCATAGTTTAGTTTTATGATAAACGTTATACGTTAATGTAGTAGTTGTATCGTAAAATTTGAAACTAAATTGAGTTACCAAAAACTAGTTTAACGATATCAAGCAATTTTTCTATTCAAATTTCCATCCTTTCTTTTCTAAATTCTAAAGTTAAATGAGTATTTTCTTGTCGAATTTCTCAACTTAGGTAAAGCATCATTATTTTACTATTTATTGTGTTCCTAAAAAAAAATTAAAGCAACTGCCAAGACAATATAGACTGTTTAATTGTTATGTCTAGCTAGTTATATTTCAGTTCCTTAATACTGTGTCTGAATTCATCTAAATAATGTTTTCATTTTATGATGCTTGGATTCATACGGTTTCACCGCCATTAATTTTAATCTGTTTCACAACTAATCAAACTAGTCTAAACATAAATTTTAGGAGTTCTGTTTTAAAAATTCCAGCAACAAAATTTTAAAGAAAATTATTCCAGCCTTTATGTACCTATTGAAACGTTGGGTACCAAAGAAAATACACGAACAGAAAATACACGTTGCTGAAATGGGAATGCTTTCAAGAGTGATCGAAGTCACAAGACAGGTTAAAAGTAGAAATTAAGATGAACGAATGCGGGCGAGAAGATAAGCTTTTGTGACTGGAACATAACAGAAAAGATTTACACTTTATTAGACAAGCGTAAGATGATGAGGATAATGGCTCCAGTGTTTCTGGTGATCAATGAAGCCATGGTTGTTCGACTGTAAGTAGAGTTGTATTATCTTGGTGTAACAAAATTTCATACCAACTAGATAGCAGGAAGCAAAATTTTTTATAAGATTTGAGCAAGCAACAGTTGTGACTTTGTGACTTTTCCTCAATATCACGAACCCCATATATGATTACTGTTTCATCTTGTTTTTATGTATCCAATTATTAAACTCACCAAGTACCATATGAGCGGCTGGATTTAATTTTTCTATTTTACAGAATCTTGTAAGCATCTTAAAATTAATGGCTGTGTGGACGGATCAATAAACTTTCAGAAATTTTCAACAATTTGACGAACACCTCCAAAATTAGCACCCGACCGAGGTTAATGTGCACTGTCTGGTATTTTGATAACTTGGACATGCATTGCTGTATAGAATTTAAAAACTATGTTAAAAATGTATCAAAGTAATGTTTGGTTTATTCTGATGACGATTTTGTGTATCAAAATAATTACGAATTTTGCAATAATAATATGTGAAAACCAGTGATGAAGCGTTTTCAAAATAAGTTTGAACAGTGTAAAAACGTATTTCTGCTATGTATTGATTTGATATTAAAATTTTACTTGTTTTAGAGCTTGCAGATAAAAATAAATAATTAATTGACAAATATTCGAATTTCCATCAGGAAATATCTAACTATTAGTTTACATACCAGTGCCTTTCTTATACAAAATGGCTTTGCGTTGAATGTTATGAATTTTGTATATATAGTAGTACTGGACAAATATGTCCATGGACCCACTTAATTCCAATTCTAATTTTTAAGATACAGAGTGTAAAAGTTAAAAAAATCCTAACTTTTCTAGTATTATTACTCAATAAAAAACAAAGAAAAAAATGTTTGTTACTTGTTCCATTGATATGTTTTAATAATAGAACAGAATATATACTGTTCAAAATCTGCACACCTACAGGTGCGCAATTATGTAATAAAAAAGTTTTCTAAATTTTAATTTAAAATAAAAATAGAGGCATAACTACAATCCAAGTTTTTAGGAATTATGTTATACCTACATTAGAATTAAAAAAAAACTAACTAGGTACCTATCTCATATTAAGTGAGCTCGATATTACACCTCAGAGATATGAACGTGAAGCTGTTAATGTTGATCACGCGATTTCCGAGGAACCTGAGCTTATATCTATTTCCCATGGAGGTAGAAGGTAGGGAGACTCTATAAGCATATTTTTGAAATATTCAAAACGCCATCACTGGGCGTGACTTATGTCGACTAAACATGGCCGATCCGCCAGAACCGAATCCAACCCAAACCCACATTTTTTTATAAAACAAGAGTTATATTGATTAATTTCAATAAAACGGACTATTAAGGTTATAATAACTGTTTTTGAGTAATTCCAATTATTAACAAAATAAGTTTTAAGGAATAAAAAATGTGTAAGTGGAAGATTTTATGTTACATGGTAATTTATGGAATAATTACAAAGTCTAAAAATTTCATTGGATGGTTTAATGTAACTGTTGGTAGACCGCAACTGATCTAACATAAAAAAAATAAAACAATTATTAAATAGGTAGGTAATAATAAAAAATATATTAGGGCAAAATAACAAATAATATAAAAATTATGTTTATATTGACCACTAAACAATACAATTTTATTGTTGTGAAGTCTTATGCTATCACATTTTTTTGAGGCAAAACACGTTTGTATATTTGTTAGCTGCAGCTTTAGTTAATAGTACTCTATTTTGGTTATAAAAGTGGTGTTGATCAAAACTGTGCTATTTGCAAATAATATATTTTTATTTATAAATGATTTGTACCACTGAAGACACTACATATTCTACATATGAAATAAGGTGGATAATTTAAAGTAACAATTCCTTTTCATTATTTGCTCACATTGAAGACAAACGTTTAATACACCCATAGAAGGGTACTATTCACTCAGTGCGAAGTCATGGTAGGAGAAGTAAAAGCGATACTAGCGCTAGCTGCGGATAATTCGTGCATTTTAGGGCGATATTTTGTAACTTTGGCATTTCAAATACACGTATGAATTGTACTTTTTTTTTTTCAAAAAAGTAAAAACAATACAATAAGCACAGGAGTTGCTGTGTTGAAAATTGTAAAAATACTAGCAAAAAAACAGTGTAAATTATAAAAATTTGTAGTAG